CAGTATACCCCCCATACCCTCCCCCTACCTGTAGAGCAGATGATTTCCACATTACTCTTTCTCTCGACTTTGATCACACTCAATATTTTGACATCAGACCCACCATTATTATTTGAGATTTTACCCCAACACTCAGATCTGCTGAAAAGGCAACAGTAGACAATTTGTTTTCTATTGCTGGTTATGAATAACATGTGACACAGTGAGAGTTTCTCTTGCTTTTTCAAAAAATATAAATTCCTTTGTGACAAAGTGAGTTGCTCCTGATTCCAGATGTACTTGTCCAAGAATTTTGCATGTAAACAAGAAAATATGCCCTTACCTCCAGATTATTACAGTTTAGAAGATCCACTTTTTTACTTTTATTGAAATACATTAAGTATGCAGCAGCATGCATTATCCTGAGAAGTTAGTTGACTCTTCACATAGAGATCAATACATTGACAGTACCCAGTTGAAGAAATAAAACACCTTCTGAGCTACTTGTCCACACCCATTCTTTTCCAGTCCTTTAAAAGTCACAGTGGTTTTGTACAAAATAATACATTTGACTTCATGTCTCGGTGTCCTATATTTAACATTTTGAAATTTGTCCATGTAATCTTCCATTCCATTGTTGAGTGTGTTTCATATGACCTAGCCCGCAAGTGTTTTACTTCTTTACAGAATACATTGTGAAGGTTTCCGTCTGGGGCTGCTGCCAATATACCTGAAACACATACACATTCCGGGCTGGAGGGATAGCACAGCGGGTAGGGCATTTGCCTTGCAAGTGGCCAACATGGCCGACCTGAGTTCGATTCCTCCGCCCCTCTCGGAGAGCCCAGCAAGCTACGAGAGTATCTCGCCCGCACGGCAAAGCCTGGCAAGCTACCCGTGATGTATTCAATATGCCAAACACAGCAACAGTTGTCACAATGGAGACTGGGCCCGCTCGAGCAAATCGATGAACAATGGGAGGACAGTGACAGTGACAGATACTCATTCCACCCTTGTTGACCAATGTCTGCATTTCTGAGCAAGGGCGGGTGGCCGAACCCTAGAGGAGTTACATACAGGCCCTGTGCCGGTGCTGTCCCCCAGATCTTTCCAAGTAAACACACCAGTGTTCCATCCTGTTCTCCAGCTTCTCTTCAGAATAATGGCTGCCACCTAGTTTTGCTAAAACTTGGCATTTTGTCCTTTTCAAAGCTGTTCTGAGTGTGTGGTGAAACCGCGCACTAATTCTGATGACTGGCAGCTGCTCTCCACCTGCCGGGAGGTCAGTGGAGTCCCTCCTTTGGGAAGGATCTTGCTGTCCATTTTTTGGTGGGTGTATTGTATTTTTCTTGTTGATAGGTACTTTCTGCACATACGGGGCGCAAGTCTTCTGTTTGACGTGAGTATGGTGGGTGCCCCTCCCCAGCCTGTGGCTTGGTTTTTGTTCCTCTCATGCTCAGGAGGCCCTAGTAATACAGTGTTCTTAGGAAGTCATGCTTTCACTTTCTTAGTATGTAGTCCGTAGACATAAACTACAGGATCCCATGTAACTTGTTGAGGAACTGCCTCACCTTTTCTTAGCAGTCACATGACTTCACATTGCCACCACCATTTCTCAATACTTGTTATTTTTCATTACAAAAAATATTGCAGCTGGATCAAAACAACAGTACGAGGGCAGGGTGCTTGCCTTGCATGCGGCTGACCCATCCCCGACACCCAATATGGTCCCTGCCAGGAGTGATTTCTGAGCTCGGAGCCAGGAGTGGCTGCATGTGGCTCAAAATTTAATGAACAGAAAATCATCTCAGAGGGAAGTGAATGTCATTGATTTGAGGCGCCAATGACTAACGATGTTGAGCATCTTTTAATGTGCTCATTGGTCTCTTTGGAGCCTTAATGTTGCCCCCCATAAACAGAAAAGGTTGTTGTAATATGTGACAATTTGTAACTTTCTTTTATAATATGCTTTATGTTCCACATAAGAAATATTTACTTCACAACTGTGAAGACGTTTTCCCACGTGCCCAACCTTTCTGCCTTTCACATGAAGATCCATGAAGCATTTTAAATCTTGTTTGGGTGAGTGTGAGGGAGTGTAAGACACAGTTCTTTCCAGCTGACCTAGGATATGTGAATGGATAAAAGTCTTTCACCATCACACCGTTGCCTTTAAGATAAAGCAAATGAAAATAAATAGAAGTTAAACCAGGTCCTCTGCTGGACTGCATAATCCACTTGCTTCTGCTTGTTACTGATTCCATGCTGCTTTGCTTAACAGAGTTTTATAAGTCTTGGAAACTAGCGGCATCGGTCCTCCAGCTTTGCTCTGTCTCAGGATTATCCTGGTTATGCCTGGCACTTTCCTCAAACTGGGTTCCTCTATAAGATCCCAAGGGAAGATCACCTGTGGCACCACGGAAGGAACCACAGTCCTCAGAGCTGTGTGAGTTGATCTTTTGTACCTACTCTTAGCTCATGAAATGCCCAAAATTCTCTGAGTCAGGGCTTCTTAAACTTTTTCGATTAAGACTCTTTATTGTCTAAGAAATTTTTATATAACCCTGGCTACATAAAATAGGTATAGAACCAATTTTATGATGATCGTAAATTTTAAAAAATTACAAAGACCTTACATTCAGCTACATGAAACTAGGTGGAACTGTGATCTGCAGTTTATGAAGCCAGGCGCTGAGATGCGGTATTTGAGCAGTGACGAGAAGACACGTGTGCAGAGGACAGCCCTCCCTCCCAGCAGGTCTCCTGGCATGACCTTCCAGTGTGAACTCCCTATGTGGCCACTATTCTTTTTTTTATCATTCTTTTTATCAATTTTATCATTTTCTCTACCCATGACGTATTTGATATGCCAAACACAGTAACAACATGTCTCATGATGGAAACGTTACTGGGCCCGTTCGAGCAAATCGATGAATAATGGGAGGACTGTGATAGTGATCATATTCTCAATGGCAGGGTTTTATGAAGATACATTCCAACACCACCTTTGTGTCCATTTCCCTCCGCCATTGTTTCAGGTCTCCCCTCATAGTCTTCACCGCACTTCCCAGGCCTCACTGCCCTGGTAAGCCTTGTTCTATAGACAGTTCTTGGGTTGTGTGACTTTTATTTATTATTTGTTCCCTTATTATGGGCTCTTTTGTGTTTGCTTTGGGGTCACACCTGTCTCTATTCTCAGGGATCACTCCTGGTATGCTCAGGGGACACTATGGGGCTCCAGGGGTCAAACCCAGGTTGGTCACTGCCTTATCCACTAGCCTATCTCTCCAGCCCCTCTATGGGCTTTCATATTTACAGTCACAGTCCTTCCGTTGTTCATCGATTTGCTCGAGCGGGCCCAGTAACGTCTCCATTGGAGACTTTGTTGTTACTGTGTTTGGCATATCGAATACATCACGGGTAGCTTGCCAGGCTCTGCCGTTTCATATTTACATATGAGAGAAATTATTCTGTATCTGTTTCTTACCTTCTGGCTGATTCACTCAAGATAATGCATTGTAGTTTCATCCATGGAGTGGCAAAATGCATGATGATTTTTTTCTTTTCTTATGTATACACGTGTATATATGCACACATGCACACACATGCGCACACACACTCCCCTCAGTTGTTTTTTTTTAATCCAGTCATCTGTTATTGGACATTTGGATAATTTCTATGGATCAGTTTTGATAAATACACAAATCCAAGGGGAAGGAAGATAATAATAAAGATCAAGGACACCCTGTGGGAGACGGAGGAGCCCAGGTGACAGAGTGGAGCCAATAAAAGATACAGTGAAATGATAGTGGAGAGAGTGAGAGAAGTGGAGCTGTTCCTTTGCATGGGAGATGAAATACAGGGTCTGGAGCCAGATCTTGGGACTGCAGTATGTGTGGCCTCCACAGGAATGCTCAGCAGAAGCACTGTTTGAGGCAGGAGATACTCATTTTGTGGATCACAAGCTCCCTTGTGGGGTCTAGGTGTCTGTCTCACTCCCAAATGCAGTTCCGTGTCACTGATGTGGAGCTACAGACAGGAGGACAGTGTGACTCACACAGGTGAGAAAGACCCTCTGCCCGTGGAGATGCAGACACATGGGTATCTGCAGTCAGTACCCGGTGTGGGAGGGGCCTTCGCTTACCTGGGCACATTCATGCATTTTGGCTAGTGAAACCTCAAGATGGAGCTGAAACATTCTCTGAAACATGAGATGAATTTGTGAGGCGGGAGGTCTGAAAGGGAGAGTGTCAGGCAGGAAAACCAGTCCGGGTGCCAGAGACAGCACTGTCCAGGGGGTGAAGACCTGTTTTCTCTCCTGCCATCCTTGCGCTGCCTGCCAGCCTTGGCCTTCGGTGTGGTCTTCTTGGGAAGACACCAGTGGCCAGATGGTCCATCTTCTCAGTACACAGTGTCCACCCCCAGCAGGAAGGCTTAAGAGAACAGACCTGAGGGCAGCCCAGGTTTGGAGGTGGCAGAGTTCCATCAAGGTAAGGCTCCCCAGAACACTGGAACACCCAGAGCTGAGGGTCCTTGCAGAGACACCCCCCTAGAAGGGCAGGATTCCCCGGGGTCCCTCCCACCTGGCTCCTCTGCACCTCAGTGTTCTCACAGACACTAGAAGGACACCTTCAATCAGTGGTCAGTTCATACCCAGCCCAGGCAGTAGAATGCCATGGGTCATCTCCCCAGAAGGATCACCCCATTCCTGTGACAGACTAGCACTTGGAGATGCAGACCTAGGGCATGTCCCCTGAGGGATGAGACCCGCTCCTGGGAAGTACCAATGCCACTGGTCCTTCCCTGCTCATTCTGCTCACCTCCAACAGCCTGGAGGCAGGGGAGCTGGTTGAAGGAGTCACAGCAGGTTCTGTGGAGGAAGAATTCCATTGCGGCTGAGCCATCGGGGGTGGGTGGGGAGCAGCAGGCTGGCCCATGGGTTTGTGAGAGTAAGACTTAGGGGAGCAGGCCTGGGTCTCTGGTGCAGGTTAATGTGTTCTGTGAGCCTGAGGTGACTCAGTGGAGGGAGAAGCCTCAGCAAGGCTCTGCCTGGACTCCGAAGTCACAGAAGACCAGACTCTGCTTTGTGAGCAGAACTGTTTATTTCTGTCCCTGCAGTGCAAGACACGGGAGCAGAGACTGAGGGAGGGTCCCGCTCAGCATAGAGGCCATGGGCCCGCTCGCAAGTGTCCTTCAGAGGCCAGTGGCAGCCAAGGAGAGGTGCTTCTCTCCACTGGAGGATGCAGAGGCAGCTGGAGCCTATATCCGATTCCTAGCTGTCTCCTCCCAGTGGCTCACGCCTGCCCAAGGCCTTGATCTCCAGGGCGAGTCTGTATAGCTCCAGGGCCAGCTTCACATCCTGGGGGTCCGGGAGACACTGCATGAGCATCCTGCCAGCAGCCACGGGCTCACAGCCTGTATGGACCTCCTGAAAGACACAGGGCAGGTGTGAGAGCCCCACACTGTGAGGGGACCCACTGTGAGGCTCTCCCAGGGCCTGCTGGGAGAGCCGACACTCCACACTTGGGGACTCCTGGGGACACTCTCCAGAGCACGGCCAGCCAGAGTGGCAGCAAGCCCGCTCACTCCTCTGTGCAGAGCGCTCTGTGCTGCACCCACTCGCACTCCCCTGTGGTGGGGCACCCCGTGTGTACACTTACCCACTCACAGCTGGGCACCTCTGGGTCCCATGTCCTGTTCTCTGAGCAGCTGATGGTTTGTGGGCCAACCATGTCATAGCCGGGGTCACATTGCACGGTCACATTCTCCCGCTCCACATACTGGCGCTTTTCCACAGACAGATGTCCATGTGCTATCTGTGGTTTTGCACACAGAGCTACAAGGGAAGTGCAACGTGGGTCCCCCGGGATGGTCCCGGAATAAGGTTTGATGAGTGAAGGAGGCCTTGATGGGAGAGCCACCTCACCCCTGAAGCACAGCACCTGCCAAGGCTTCCCCTCCAGTCATGTGTGGGGGTCCCTGAACAGACCTTTCAATGTTAGGACCTTCTATGGCCCCAGGTGTGCTAATGTTGCTAGAAAGAAGACGTGGATGCAGGAGGGCCTGGGCGCATCTGGTGGCCTGGCTAAGGTCCAACCCAGCTACTCTGCTGGACCCTGATCCCTTCACTGCCCCGTCTCACACCCGCACTTCAGGCCTGAAGCAGGTTGCTTCCATTCTTTTACCAGTAATACCTTTCTGTGTGAAATGGAGACGATAGTGGCAAATTAGGTCCTTTACTGTTGTTAGGGTGTGATTAAGCATGGGGACCTCTCCTGACAATTTTTGGCTAGCTGGGTCAGTAGTTTAATGCAGGAGCCAAAGGACACACCACCGCTCAGTCCTGCAGTGCCCAGTGTTGCCCAGACCTCCCTAGAAATGCTCAGGGCTGGGGTGTAACTTTTCCTTCTTGAGCACGCATGGGACCATGGAAGGTTCTAACATCAAAAGGACAAAAACATTGACTCACCCACCATGGGGGTGGGGGGTGGCGGTGGTCTCTCACTGTAAAGCAGGCACATTTCAGGACTGGACAGGTGGCTCTATGGCAGGGCACATGCAGGTGTGACCCTGGGGCTGGATTCCTGGCACCATATGTTCTGCCCACAGCACTTCTGAAGTGGCCCTGGTGGCCCCAAGCACCACTGGGCTGAGACTGGCCAGAAATGATCCTATTGAATCAGCCACACACTTTATCTTCATGTCACTCATATGTCTCCCACGACACTGTGTGATGAGAAGGCATGGAATGTTCAGGCCCTACAGGGGAGCGGGTTCTTTGAAGACCCTTGGAATCTACTCATATCTCCAGTATAAGCAGGTGCTGCCTGAGGTGGGCCAAAACTTCACTGATGCTCTCGCTCAAGACTGAGTGTGAGTCTCTGTGAGTGCAGAGGTAGGCCCACACCCGGGTTCCATGAAAGGCTCAGATCACCACAGGGAAAGCACCTCCACTGCCCACCACCTATCTTCTAAGCACAGGAATTTCAAGTGGATTTGGAGTCATCAGTGAGCATATCACAGCAGCAATCCATGAAAAAAACTAAGTCCTGGAAGATAATCTAGGACCTTGTTGTAGGTGAGTATTTCTGAAGCAGGACACAAAAATTTTGAACCTCAAGGAAAGACTGATGAGTTGTCCCAGGCTGGGATATTGTAGGATAACATTGATTTGTCCTTTCTGCCTGCCACAGGGAGCTTAGGTTTATTGGGTTATTCCCATCACAGTGCTCCCATTCCTCTGTGTTTATTTGCAACCTCTTTCTTTGTGCTCTGTTTTCCCAACTGGTCAATCACCTTTATCTTCTAATCAGATTCTGTTAACTTGTAAATATTGCTTTAATATCTTTCCCTTAAGTCCTTTGTATAGTTAATTCAGAGCAACATCCTTTTTGCATAGACACAAGAAGACAGTTAATGCTATGCTTTCGTAACTTGGGAGTTAATTGACTCCAAATAATATTCACTCCTGGGCATCTGTATTCTTGACTTAAGCCTCAGTTGCCCTTCTTCCTAGCACTCCAAAAGCAGGGTCCCGATGAGGGACTGAATGGACCCAGGGCAAGCTGTGAGATATCCTGGCATCAAAATGGGCCAGGCCAAAGCGCCATAATGCTTAACTATAAGTTAAGAATATGGTCATGAACAAATTCTGTCATGACCTGCTAGCATTAGGAAAGATTAATCTGGCCTGCGCACTGTAGTCTGGGATCTATAGTGAGATGTCCCCAGGAGAGCCACCCTACAAACTTAATATATCTCTTACTGTGTCCATACAAAATAACTAATATTAAGAAGTAGAATTAAGATGTTAATTAAGTTATTGAACTAAGGAAAGGAGAAACACACCCTGGGTGGTACTTGGCTCACTTGAGCAAAGGGCTTTCATATGTTGATTGAGCTACCAGACCTAGATGTGGTAGTGGGAGTTGGAGGGAGTTGAAAACGAGAGAGAGAGAGAGAGAGAGAGAGAGAGAGAGAGAGAGAGAGAGAGAGAGGAGAGAGAGAGAGAGAGAGAGAAGTGGTGGGTGAGTGGGAGCTCCGAGAGATGAGCTAGCAAGGGGGCCGGGAGGAGATCAGAATGAGGGGCAATGCGAGACTGGAATAGACTGGAATGGGGAGCCTAGTGAGATTGGAACAGGTGCGTGGAGAGAATGGAATAAACGGCAACTGAGGCTTAAGCCGAGAAAATATATCCCCCAGAGTGAGTATCATTCGGAGTCAATTAATTCCCAAGTAACAAAAGCAGAGCATTAACTGTGTCTATAAATGAGGACAGTGCTCCGAATTAACTATGCAAAGGATTCAAGGAGAAGAGAAAAGCAATATTTACAACTTAACAGAGTGATTAGGAGATAAAGGTGATTGACCTGCTGGGGAAGCAGAGCACACAGAAAGAGGTTACAAATAAACACAGAGGAATGGGAGCACTGCATGGGAGTAATCCAATAAACCTCAGCTCCCTGTGGCAAGGCAGAAAGGACAAACCACTGTTATCCTACAGGATGTCAAACTTTTGTTTCTCAAAATGAGGGCCACACGTGACGAGTGCTGCATCTGAACAGGCTGCATGTGAACAGCTCTGCTCTGCCCGTCATGCTGCTAACCCCTAGCTAATTCCCCACAGAAAAGCTGGCACCATGCCACCAACAGCTGGTCGGTGAAGGAGCACTTTTCAGAAGAGCTCAGTTCCTACAAAATCCAGCTGGTTCGTGCATACACGTCCATGCAGCCTTTCCTGAGACTGAGCCGTGTCCCCGTGAGATTGGTGCAGGTGCTGGCTCCGCATGGCCATGGAGAGAAACACCAGCACAAGGACCCCTGCGTGGGCATCAGGCTAGTCCCTGCTGGGGCCTGGAAGAGGTAACACCTACTGACCTGTTTCCACTGTGGTTGACTCTGACCAGCACACTGAGGTGTGTCAGAGTCAGAGTTTGCTTATTTATCTGTTGATTGATTCTGTGGTGATTGAGGGGGCCCCACCTCATAGTGCTCAGGGATCACATGGCACGGGGGCCAGGGATTGACCCCAGGGATGCACAGGGACAAGGCAAGAGGTCTATTAAGTCATGCCCCCAGCTTCCTTGGATGGTATTTAAGAAGCTTGTGTGAAGCTGGGAGCGATAGCATAGCGTTGGGGCATTTGCCTTGCCCACAGCCAGCCCGGCCGAGCTGGGTTCGATTCCTCCACCCCTCTTGGAGAGCCTGGCAAGCTACCGAGAGTATCTCGCCTCCACGGCAAAGACTGGCAAGCTACCCGTGATGTATTCAATATGCCAAACACAGTAACAACAAGTCTCACGATGGAGATGTTACTGGGCCTGCTCGAGCAAATCGATGAATAACGGGAGAACCGTGACCACTCGTATGTGTGAAGCTCAGGCAAAAACATGGCCTCTAGAAATCTCTAGAAGCAGCGGCAGTGGTGGCTGCCAGATGAAGTTGCTGGATATTCATACGAAATCAATCATGCATTAACTATACAAGAAAGGAGAAAGGAAGAAGGAGGGGAGGAGAGGCGTGCAAGACTGGAAGGGAGAGTGCCAAGGTCAATGCTGCCTGTGGCAGGAGGCTCCCCAGGGAACCAGTGTAGCCACCTTACCTCTACATTGGGGTGCTGAGGCCGACCAGTGTGAGTTTCTGCAGGAGATTTTGGGCTCTCCAACCAGAATATATCCTTCATCACACTCATACTTCACCACAGTGGTAAAGGAGAAGAATGAGCTCATGTCCTGGCCAGAGCCGTGAGCGATGACAGGGAACAGGCTGCAGTCTGAGCAGGAGAGAATGGCAGGAGTGAGGTGCTATACTGCCCACAGCATTCGGAACCACACAACCTCCCTGCCACCGAGCTCTCTCCCTACATTAGACACTACAAGAGCTTTGCATCTGCCAGGTGAGCACTTGGCTATCATCTAAGTGTTGGGATTTCCTCTAAGCAACTCAAATCCTCTATTCTGATACCATGATACCTGTTTCAGGGAATATATTCATTAATAGTTTATGTTGTTATAGCAACTGATTCCTTCAGATAAAAGAGGCTGGCTTACACTTTGATTAAGGAATTTCTATTGAAGTGGCATAACAAAGTTGATTCCCATAGCAACAGGCCTTAGTTCTGGTACATTCCCTCAACCTTTCTCCTTCCTCGTTACTTTACAAAAGGTTCTGGACGTTTCAGTAGTAAGGCATTGCATTTATAACTAGGCTTACTGGTTCTAAAATGCCTTAGTTGTTGTTTTGAAAATATACTCTATTTGTGAGTACACATTTTTGCTTGATGGATGAAACTTTTCCCAGCCATCATCTTCTACCAGTATGACAATAGAATGCAGAACTAATCTATTTAGAAAGCAATGTGCTTTAACATCTGGAGCACTTAAATAAAAGAAATTCATGCGAAAATTAATGCATTCTCATGAGGGTCTTATTAGTCACACTTTGTTCTTTACATAAAGCAGCCTCTCTCTAGAACAACTCTAATTTTCAAAGCTCTGAAACAAATAATAGTTCATAGAATTCTCTCCAAAGGGTCATATTTTTCCCTCTGCGCCTCACCCTAAATTCCTCATCAGTACTTCTCCCAGGTCTACAGAAGTCAGACTGTCCCAAGCCCTGGCACTCACCACACTTCACAGGAGGGGACAGCCACAGCACCATGGCACCCAGCAGGCACTGTGCCCGGGAAGGGCTCCTCAAGGGAGGCATGGCTCCCTCAGCAGCTCAAGCCGAAGGAGATGCAGATGCCTCTCTGAGAGGGACTCTGAGAGGAGGAGCCTCGAAAGCCCGGCTGTGTTGCCCAAGAGTGGAGGCGTGGCCAGAGCGGGGCTGCTGAGTGGACCTTGGGGCCAGATGCCCTGGCCCCTCTGTCTGGCACGGCAGGCTGCTCCTGCCGCCCCCAGGGCTGCCCGTGAGGCTGGTCCCCTAGGAAGCTGGCTTACCCTGAGTTGTGATCTGTGCTCTCAGCTCCTGGGCCCAGGGTGTTTGGAAAGGGAGGGGAGGCTGTGTGAGAAGCAGGGCCTGTCAGAAGTGGCTTCTCCAATTAGTGGCTGCAACTCCCCATAGGAGAATGATGGCGCTCAATTCCAGAAGTCTCGGTTCTTCCCAGACTCTTGAGAACCTGGTCCCCGAAGTGGTTCTTGCAGTGCTGGCCTCCCTTCCCCTTTTTCTCTGTCTCTCCTGTGCATGAAAATACCCGATGACTTGCTTCACAAAACCGTTTTAGTGGAAACTGCCCTTTTGTCTTGGCAGCAAAAAAGATGCATGTTCTGAAAGTTCATGTTGAGTGAAAATCGTGAAGAAAGGAGAAGTCTTACAACTTTCAGAGTTCTCAGATGCCGGACCTGGGGGAGGTCCCTCACTTTGTCCATAAGTGCTGAATGCAGTGGCAGGATAACCCGGATATTCCATGTGGAAGGGCTGTCAGTGCTCCTGCACACCCCATGGCTTAGGCTGCCCATAGGCCACACCAACGGTCCTGCACAGACTCTACTGTGTGCCCCCGCAGGCATCTCTTTCTGGACAAGACACAGCAGTTGTCCAAATAAGATGACAAACTCTGGCATCTTCCCTAAAGTGACCCTGCTCTCCATAGAGGAGCCAGGGTGACACTCCCCATCCACCCCCCCCCCCCAACAACAGCCCCACAGCTTACCTCTTCAAAATAAATGGGAAGTCACAAACAGAACAGAGTTGAGCGCTGAGGGACTTGGAGGTCTGGAGCCATGGGACAGTGTGCAGGGCTCTTGCCTTGTGCTTGGCCCACCCAGGTTTGACTCTCAGTACTGACCCAGGTCCTAATGATCCCTGAGTGCAGAGTCAGGAGTAAGCCCTGGGTACTGCCAGGTGTGGCCTCAAAACAAAAACAAAAGCAGACTTGGATGTCTGCTCCCCTGTGAGAGTGAGCGTAGAAGGGGCTTTCTGCACCCTGGGGAACCTCCCTTTGTGGGTGGGGGGTGGCTGCAGGGGGTGCTGTCCTGCTTAACCAACCAGTAGGGGGGTGCTTGGCTTTCAGCCCTTCCTGTCAGTAGCCTCAGCCCTGCCCCCTGGTCCCAGTGTCCTTGTGCAGAGAAAACTGATTCCTACAGACAAAGAAAAGTCCAAGACAGCTCAGAAAATTCCTAGCAAAGCCAAATTTAGGCCCAAGGCAGAGCCTACAATCCATGCCTTTCCTTCCTGCCGTGGTTTCCTTGCTTCCCTGGCAGGGCACCAATGAGCCTTTGGGAAGAAGGACGCCCAGGGGCACCTCTTGGTGGGGTGTGTGCCCCAGGAGGGTGTCTTGTGAGAGCACATGCAAGCAGAATAAGGCTCCCAGGCTCCCTGAAGGCCAGTCCTACCCACAGCCCACCCCTGCCTCCTGTTGCACACAACCATCACATAACATGTATCACACATCACACATGCACACACCACCATCCTGTGAAGGTCCACACCTAGTCTCCCTGCACTGCTGCTGCCTCATGCCCCTGAAGCTCATCCTGAAGAGACCAGCCTTCGGAACTCGTACACCTGAATGGGACTGCAGCAAACTGGAAAAGGTTTTCCATTATAAAAGAAAGGGCAGTTGAACAGCACACATAAATGTACACACCCTACTGGTGGTTTTCACTCACCACCAATATCAAGTCCCGAAAGGGATCTGCAGGACAGTGATGCTCCCTGCAGCCGGACTCCTCTGGGTGGGCAGGAGCCACCACAGCTGCTTCTTGTCTGCATCAAAGCTACTCTCCTTCCTGGCTGCCCGTGACTACCTGCCAGCACCTGACCCCAGTGCTGGGGATGGGGGGGCGGGGCTTGCTGAGAGCAGCTCAGCCTGCAGGTGCAGGTGTTACAGGTCTCATGCAGTCAGGACCAGTGGCAGGAGCTCCATGTCTGGTGTGCTGAGTGCAGACAGCCTCGGCCTGCGTGTGGTGCTACCTTGGTGAGGTGTGGTGGTCCCTAGTCCAGGGGAGGCTTGAGGGGGCCAGTTTGAACCCCGGTTTCCCAGGATGAACATTTGAGGCCCTGGAGACCCACAGCTCCAGGCCTGACTGCTGTGGGTGCTGCCTGACTGGAACCAGAGAGATGGGTGTGTTGGCCCCCAGACGAGGGTGACCACTGTCAGAGGTCATGAATCTGTTCCTACATGTTCCATGGTGCAGTTTCCCCACAGTTGTCCCAGCAGACCTCTAGGAGGAAGGACACTCCACCTTCTTCCAGGGTGCTCCCACCACCTGCACCCAAAGGCACCTATGACTGGTAGGAGGGGCTGAGGGCAGAATGCAGGGTTACCCCGGTTCAGGCAAGACTGAAGGCGCCAGGAGGCAAGCAGGCTCCCAGCTGAGGTGTCGGCTCTCTGGCCACACAGGACCAGGTCCATGATTCCCAAATGGATAGAAGCTGGCAAGACCTCACACCAGTTCTCTGACTTGCTATGAAATCACCTCAGTTTTCAGAAAGATGTGAGCTTGTGGCTTCATGAAAAAATGCTGAACTGAGGTTAAAGACATCACCTGTTGTTATTCATCATTCCTTGGACTAGGGTCCCAAACTTCCTTGGACTAGGGTCCCAAACTTTTCTATTTTTATTGGCTAATGCATTTATTTACTTATGACCTGCTGGCCACATCCAGTGCTGCTTGGGAAACTCCCAGCTTGGTGCTCAGGTCTTGGTTGGTGATGCCAGGGACCACAGAGTGTTTGGAACTGAAACTTGAGCACTCGAGTATTGAAATCCTTTGAGCTGTCACCCCAGCCCTCTCTTGTATTTTTGTAGCAGAAAAAGATCCTGAAGAACTGACATTTCTTCTCCCCAAATGGTGTAGATATTTGATCCATTGTGTTCCCTTTTGGTTGAAAATATATTCAATCAACATGAGTATATGAATTCAATTTAGCAAATTTACTTTTTATGCCAATCTAGTACAGATGGATAAATTTGAATGTTTAAAATTATTAAATTTTGAACCATGCAAGTTAAGGTACTTTCCTTGCATGTAGCTGATTCTGGTTTGATACCTGGCACCACATAATCCCCCAAACACTTCTGGGAGAGACCCCTTAGCCAGTATAAACCCTGAGCACAGCCAGGTGTGGCCGAAATAAACATTGAATTTCCACAAGGTACTTAGCTAAACATAAAATAAAGTTATAAGAAAACTCTTTAAAAGCAAGAAACTTCACCAAAAATAATACGTAAGTAAGTATCCTCACTGTGTCAGGGCTCTCGCGAACATTCACAGTGAGACCACTCATCTTCTCTGCAGCCAAGCATTTCCTCGGAGAAGACTGGTGGGGACACAGGCCTGTTCATGGGGCCTGGACAGAGGTCCTGCCCACTTCCTTCCCTCACTGCCCAGTACGGCGAGGTCCACGTCTATGCTGTGTGGGATGATCTCGTCTGCTGGTTTCCAAACCTCTCCCAGATCCAGAACAGCTCCTGGCCCTTCCTGGTCTCTTGGGGCTCCAACCAAGAGTGTCCAGACTGGTCTGAACACTGGTCATTGTCATGTGTGGGTGGAGGACAGAGGATGTGGAAGCAGAGGCAGAAAGGACTCCAGTGGACAGGAGCTGGGGCAGTGTCCATTCTCGGGAGGGGAGCACAGGGAGAGTTGTTGGACCCGGGAGCATGAACTGAGGGTCCTTCTCTGAGTGTTCCATGGTCACCAACCTGTGGGCACTGAGAATGTTGCCCAGCTGTGACCGAGGGTGGTGCCAGGGGCAAGGCCAGGGACAACATGAGTTGGGCTGCAGGCAGCTCTGTCCAGCACGGTCACCGGGGCCGGATCCTTCCTCTCTAGGATTCAGTTCCCTGGTGCTGTCCTCATCACAAGGAATGTCCTGTCAGCAGTTTGATCCCCTTTGGCCGAGACAGGAAGTCAGCAAAGTAGCTTCCTCATTTGGAAAGTAACCGGGACACTGCCCCCACTGGGGAGGGGCTCCCAGCAGCTCCCAGGCCTGCCTGCACTATGCCCAGGCCTCCCAAGTGCCTGCAGTCCTGGGAGCTGTGGTCACTGGCCGTGCCTGGCCCTGTGAGGTCGCAGTGTCCACAGGCTACCAGAAGGCATGCAGGGGGACCTTGGCACTACCCTCCTCCTGTCCACCCAGCTCTGCCCTTCCCCAGGCTGCAGGCCATGTGACCTGGACACAGAACCCTCCCATAATGACAGCCCAAGGGCCAGTCACTCTGGGCTCCATGCTTAGGGGCCAGGGCTGCCCTGGGGTTCAGTGCCTACAACACAGAGGCCCTGATGGCTGAGGTCTGAGTGAGTGTCAGGACTCGGGGCATGGGGGAGGTAGGTATCTCAGCAGATAATGAGAACAAGGAACACAGGAGACAGGGAGCAAGGGCCAGTTCCTGTGGAAGACACAGGCCGGCAGCGGCAGGAGCTGACAATGCATGTTGCACGGTCAAGGGAGGGGCTCCAAGGAGGCCCGGCTCCCTGCAGAGCAGACCCAGGCCTGTGTGTCCAGACAGGCATGATTCAGAGTTGTGCTAGGGACCTCGACTCATGCAGGGAAGGGGCCCTTAGTGCCCTGGCTCCGTGCAGGGAAGGGGCCCCGAGTGACCCGGCTCATGCAGGGAAGAGGCGACCAAGTGATCTGACTCATGCAAGGAAGGGGCCCCGAGTGACCCGGCTCCATGCAGGGAAGGGGCCCCGAGTGACCCGGCTCCGTGCAGGGAAGGGGACCCGAGTGACCTGGCTCTGTGCAGGGAAGAGGCCACCAGGTGATCTGACTCATGCAAGGAAGGGGCCCTGAGTGACCCGGCTCCGTGCAGGGAAGGGGCCCCAAGTGACCTGACTCATGCAGAGAAGAGGCCACCGAATGATCTGACTCATGCAAGGAAGGGGACCCGAGTGACCTGGCTCTGTGCAGGGAAGGGGATCCAAGTGACCCAGCTCTGTGCACGGAAGGGGCCCTGAGTGACATGACTTTGTGCAGGGAAGGGGCCCTAAACGACTTGGAGGCAGTTTTGTTTTTTTCTTCATATCCCTAACTTTGGTCATTTTAATACTACTTTCAGGATTTCAGTCCCAGAATGGGGCCAACCCAGGAGGGGGTTGGTGAGGAATAGGACAGACAGAAGAAACGGAAGGACAGCATAAGGGAGGCTTGGGTCAGACAACCCCAGCACTGAGTTTTTATTCTGGCGTGGGGGGAGGGGAGTGGGTTTCTGGGAGTCTCAGCAGATGCGGCCACATGCCCATGCGCATTCAGAGCGCTGGAGGCTGCGTGGGTCCCGCTTGACCCCGTGTCAGAGCTCTGCAGTCTGTGGAACGTTGATCCTGATCTGCTCTATTTGTAGTTCCAGGAGTTGGATCTCGAGGGAGAGTTTGTACATCTCCTGGGCCAACTTTGCTTCTTTGGGGTCTGGGAGGCACTGCATGAGCTTCCAGCCCCTAGCCATGGACTCGCAACCTGCAGGGAACTCCTGGAGGACAAAGGTGGCACCAGTGAGGAGTGGAGCAGTTTGCAGCCTTCCCAGCTTTCCCACGAAAGCAGCTGTTCTCAGGTGAGGGCTGGAGAATTTTTCCACCACCAGCACGACAGGAAACACTCTGGTTGGCACCGCCATGAGTCAGGACCTGCCTCTGCTAGCTGGACTGTGGGGAAAGCACCCTTGGGAACTTCCTGGATGATGCACCCATTCACACTTACCCACTCACACTTGGGCACCCCTGGGAACCAGCTTCTGTCCTCTGAACAGGTGATGGTCTGGTTACCAACCAGTCTGTAGCTGGAGTCACAGTGGACAGTGATGCTGGCAGTTTCCAGGTACAGAGACTTGTTCTCAGACAGACGTCCGTGTTCTATCTCTGGTCTCTCACACTCAGCTACAATGAAAACACATTTTAAAGCTAATATATAAATCATAAAACATGTGAGCATCTACTAAAAATTCATTTTAATTGCTTTTTGGTTTGGGGGTCACATGCAGCAGTGCTCAGGGCTTACTCTTGCCTCTGTGCTCAGGGATCACTCCTGGTGAGCCTCACAGGATCCTATGGGATGCCAGAGACTGAACCAGGTCAGCCGTGTGCAAGGCCTGTGCTTCCCCAGCTGTGTTAGACCCCACTAAGCATTGTGACCATCTCAGTCACTGAGTGTTAGCACCAACCAGAGACTGGGCTCGCACAGATTGATTCTGTGTCATTTGGGCCTACCAGGCTGTGCTCCTGTGTCTAGGGAGCCACTGAGGATGCTCAGCTCAATGACAGGATGAAGGTGCTGTGCTTTCAGGCCCAACAGTGCTCAGGGACCAGAACCTTGGGATGTCCAGGGGCCATGCGGCAGCACCCAGATGTGCCCTGGTGGCTGTGCTCTCCCAGGCCCCCTTTCCACATTTGTATATAGTTTTTGTTTTGATTTGTGGGTCCTACCTGTCAGTACTTGGGAGCTACTCCTAGCTCAGTACTTTGGGGTCAATCCCAGTAACATGTGGGGGGCAACCTAGTGCCAGAAGTTGAACTCAGACCTGCACATACAGACCACACCCCCATTTATCTGAGGAAATGATGTCCTGAGATCTCAAGGTCATGACAGGTTTGAACATCAAGATGGTGCAGAGTATGTGACTCCAGGCACTCATCTATCAAAGCGAATGTCTACCTTGTTATGGTCCCTGTGGGGCCCAAGGGGTGACCTTCCTCCTGGCCCAGGAGCTCCACAGTGGCAGGGACCTGGACTGTGCACAGCAGTGGGAGATAAATCGGCACAGAGGCCAAAGTTCCCAAGGCCTGGTCTCACCCTCCCCTCACGGCGACCCCTCTTCTGAGTGAGTGAGACTTGATGGGAGGGAGAAGAGTTCTCCCACGCAGAGGTTGGGGAGAAGCGGGGTGCTCCTGCAGGGCAGGTTTTAAGAAAAGTTGCCACGGGCTCTGCTGCACCTGGGAAGTGGAGAGCTTGTGGAAGATACAAGACAACTGGCTCAGGCGATGCCTGAGGAGGCCACATCCTGCTCCTGCAAGAATGAAGTGGGATCCAACTGCCCAAGAACAGGCAACTGGATAAAAAAAAACTGTGGTACATCTACACGTTGAAATATTACACAGTCATTAGGAAGAATGATGTCATGAAATTTGCTTATAAATAGATGTATATGGACAGTATCATGCTGGGTGAAATGAGTCAGAGGGGTAGGGACAGGTATCTAACATATATATGTATGTATACACACACACTCACACACATATATATATATTATGAGACTAATATTGAAGGTGAGGGTAAACAGGGGCCAGGTGGACTGGTCAATGGTTGGAAGCTTGTCTTGGGAGTGTGTATGGGGGGGGGTAGCAAAGGGCAGTTAGGATAGAGAAGGGATCAGCATAACAATATTAGTTGGAAACGATCATTTTTGACAGGAACTGAGTGTTGAAAATAGGTAAAGGGATATACCTGATAACCTTTCATTATCTGTATTGCAAACTATAAGGCCGTAAAGGAGAGTGGGGCGGGGGGAGGGAGGGAGAGAAAGGGAGAGAGAGAGAGGGAGAGAGAGGGAGAGAGAGGGAGAGAGAAGAAAAGTGCCTGTCATCGTGGCAGGCAGGGGAGGGACCCTGGAGGGTGGGAGGGAAACAGGGACCACTGATGGTGAAAAAAGTACACTGGAGAAGGAATGGTTGTTGGAACATTATATGACTGAAATCCAATCATGAACAACTCTGTAAATGTGTTTATCATGTGATTCAATAAAAAAATTAAAAAACGAAAGAACAAAACAGGAGAGAAGGAAGTGGGATCTTCATGTTTCTGCGACCTCTTGTCCGTCTGCAGAGCTCCCTTGGAACATGCAATTGTTCCGAAGAAAGTGCAGTTTCCTGCTGCCTCAGGGAGGACAGCAGCAGCAGCCTCTGGCTATTCCCATCCTTGTGAATTTACCTTTACACTGAGGAGCTTGCGCTGACCAGCCCTCACTGTTGCAGGTGAGCTTGCTCGTTCCGACCAGCTTGTACCCAGGCATGCAGGTGTAGTACACCTCATCCGTTCGAAATCCCCTGACCTTTTTGTAAAATCCATGGGCAATGGCAGGGGGGACGTCACAGCCTGCATGGTGAGAAAGGGAATGGAAAGCAGGAGGGTGAACTGTTAGCCTACCCCTTGCGCGGCCACAGGGCCCTTCTCTCCTCCTGCCTTCGCTGCCTGCGGTGTTCACCGGCTCCATGCACCTGGGTCCCCTCCTGGAAGCCTCGGCTGAGACCACTTGGGGTCTCTTCCCACACCATGTGAGCTCACATGCAGTGTCTTTCAAAGTAAGCCAGGGCAGACATTGGGGTAGGCATCCCAGGTGAGTCCATGGCCTGCGGGGTGAGTTGTCACACCCAGGAAGATTGCCCTCAACCCAGCCCCAGGATCACCTCACACACAGTGGCAAAGCAGGAATGGGTTGCGTGTTGCCCTAGCCACTGCTCTAGCCCATCTGGGACCAAGTCAGAGTTCAGCAGTATTCTGAACACTACTGGACACCAGCTGCCCCTTAGCTCAGTCACAGACCCCTGTCCCCTTCTCTACAGCACATGTGTCTCTGGTGAATGCACCACAGAAGAGCAGAGCACAGAGGGAAGGCTGCACAGATGAGGATGCTCACGGCCCTGAAGCACCCCTCTTCTGCTGCCCCGGAGTTGGGAGGTCTGCAACCATCTGGACACCTACAGAGCCCACTCTGGCCCATATACAGTGACCAAGAACTGCCAGAAGAGACACCTGTCTTGGCTGGTCTTCGCACAGGCCCTACCTCTCCCTAGCGGGCACAGTCCTGAGGGCACCGCGGGGTGTTCCCATGGCCCCGGGTGGGCTCGGGTTCTGACCACCCCATGCTCTGTTTCTAGAACAGGTCACACCTCTGACATTGGAGTGTAGTAGTTCAGGCCTAGAAAACGTCAGGAAAATGCACTGTAGCTCTGTGGGTGTGGGGGCCCCTGTGTTCAGGACCCTGGGCCTCCTGGCATCATGTGTCCCTGCTGGGACACTCATGATTTCCCATGCACTGGGACAGTGATGCAGCACAAATGAGAGCCAAGCCCAACCCTCCTCCCCCCACCCCTTCAGTATGTCCTGCTGTCTGTTCTCATTCTCCAATCTGCCAATTACATGCCAAGGCCTAGAGGTGGCACAACTCCTGGGAAGCTAAGAAGATTCTTGACAGGAAGCTGGAAACTGCTTGTCCCAGCAGGGACAGGGCTCACCCTGCAGGGCATGAATACCAACACAGGCACCACTCACTGGTCCTGCCACCACCACTCTGCCAACTCTGCACCTGCAAGGCAACAGCAGTTGCCTCAGGGTCTCCTTTTCATGACTGGAGCCTGTTTACATGGCAAGAAGCTCCCATAGCTGAGATCTTAAAACCTGCGCCCACAGAGAAATGGCCTGTGAGGGCCAGGGTGGAAGTACCAGCTGGCAAAACACTGCCCTGCCTCCTGTTAGTTCCTTCCAGGGGCCACATTCAGTGCAAGTCAAAGATCTGTCTTTCTACAGAGGTGGGTCCCCATAAAATGATGGTCAGGGACTGGGGACAAGACCAGACTGTATGGGACCTATTTACCACCATACAGGGCCTTGTTAGTCAGCAGTGCATGTGCCACTGAAACAGGGGCACCTATACAGTAACAAGTCCTGGTGGGAGCAGTTTATGGGGGAAAGAATAGTCTAGAGGAGAGAGCAGTCTGTAGAGAAAACAGTCCAGGGGGAGGAAACAGTCCAGGGCAGAGAACAGCCTCGGAGGAAACAGTCTATAGAGAGAACGGCCTAGAAGGGAACAGCCTAGGAGGGACCAGTCCAGGGCAGAGAATAGCATAGGAGGGACCAGTCTATAGAAAGAACAGCCCAGGAGGGAGCAGTTCAGGGCAGAGAACAGCCTAGGAGGGACCAGTCTACAGAGAGAACAGCCTAGAAGGGAACAGCCTAGGAGGGAACAGCCCAGGGGAGAAATTACTCCTCCTCCAGCTCCCAGCTCTCTCAGGGCCAGCAGCCCTGCCACCATGCACGCACTCCCCACAGCATGACCCTGGGCTTACTGTTCTCACACGTGGGCTCCGGACTCCACGTGCCATCACTTTGACAGCTGGATTTGCGATAATTCATGCCAGGACAAAAGTATGTAATAGTATCTTCGTAAAAGTAGGTACACATCCGGGTGGAGCCTTGTCTCCACTGGGGCAGGATATGGCCTTGCTTCAGCACTGGTTTCGGGCAGCACACCTCTAGGAACAAGAGCAGGGCCAGTGACAATCTACCCCTGGGAATCCTGTGCTCAGACACTAGGGCAGGCTTCCAACACCATTGTCCTTGTCCTGCAGGAACCCCATGCTGCTTCTTAGCTACATCTCTTGGGAGACTTCCAAAACGAGATATTGTATTAAACCTGCATGAAATGTGAACTTCTAAAACTTGAGGAACTATATCCATTGACCCTTATGCACAACATCCTTGCAAACCATATGAGATCATCCATCTCATCCCAAGAGGAAGCCCCCTCAGATGTTCCAGATGATCCATCCAGAATAAGACCACTCAGTAGTTTAGTGTGGGCAGTCCAAGTAACAACCCAGGTACCTGCCTCTGGACCCTCATTCGTGCCCCTCAAGAGAGCGAGCGTCTCTGATGGGAGATGACCATGTCCCCAACTACCCGCCTGCCAAGTCACTCAAAGTCTGTATCAGGAGGGGAGGGCTGAGCTCTATCCCCACTAGCAGCAAGGATGCTGGTTCACAGCCTGCATGACCATGGTCACCCTGGTGACCTACTCCTGAAGAAGGGCGCACTCCAGCTTGGTGGCCCTGAGCCCTGGAGAGCCAGGCCCTTTGCTCTCCCGCAGCCCCGTGGCATGCTCTGAATCTCCAGCAGAGGTCCACCCTGGCCGGGTATGGTGAGGACCAAGTCAAGATTGTCCCGGCAAGTCACAGTGGTGTGCCAGCTGGCCTAATAGGAGGGTGGCAGGTGAACCTCACAGCTTTGCATGGCTCAGATGGTGGCTGCTGTTCCAGCTGGTCTGAAGGACTTTCGGTAGGCCAACACGTTTGTGCACGTGTGACCATAGAGTCCTGGGGTCAGGGGCTCTCCGGCCTACTGAGGCACCTGCCACACAGCTAGCACTGCCTGTGACTTGCTTGTGGAGACACAGCCTTGGAGGCAACCCCAGACACCTTTGTGCCTGGCGTCTAGGCCTGGAAGCTCTCCTCCAGCCCACACACCCCTGCCAGCTCTCTTCATACCCCCCAAGCCACCCACATCCCCATGCCTCGCAGAAGGCTGAGAGCTGGTGTTAGTCATGAGTGTGACTCTGGAGACGCAAGGTGACTCTCATGAGCTCCACTGCACAGGACCCAGCCCAGGCCATTCTCCTGCATGGACTCCTACACATGGGGGTCTGGGTTCTGGATGTGGGTTTATGCTTTCTTCCCGGAGCTGTGTGTACTCACACACACACACACACACACACACACACACACACACACACACACTCACACACACACCCTCCAAATGATGTGAATTTTGTTATTATGTGCTGTCTTCAAGCATGTGAAGTGGTATGTAGGCATGGGTACTTTTTTTTTTTGCTTTTTGGGTCACACAAACGATGCACAGGGGTTACTCCTGGCTCATGTACTCAGGAATTGCTCCTGGCGGTGCTCGAGGGACCATATGGGATGCTGGGAATCGAACCCAGGTTGGCCGTGTGCAAGGCAAATGCCCTACCCACTATGCTATCGTTCCAGCCCCAGCACAGGTACTTTTAAAAATGATTGTATTGAGATGTAAGTCACGTAGTAAAAAATTCACCCATTAAAATGTAAGAGACAATGTTGTGGATTTTAGTATGTGAGCAGGAGCGTTCATATACTATCATAGGGATATTTGCACCCCTCTGTGCTGGCTGGTCACTCCCTCCTCCTATCGCCCAGCCCCTGGGAGCTGTGTCTCCTAACTCCCTCTCTCTGCCCAGATGCCTACCTTTCACCTCCATGCAGTCACACCACCTGTGCTCACACACCTGTTCCTCTCACCAGCAAGATCTCCCCGAGATCCCCACAATGCAGCAAAACCTGGTATTGTTTGCATCTTCCTGTCAATCCATGTCTTAGGTGACAAGCATCTGGGCTATGGGCCCACTGTAAGTTCTCTGCTGCACCTGACCCTTTCAGTCTAGCAGCTGAGGGAGGCTGCCAAGCCCCCCAGGGCAGCTCAAGCTGGAAGGTAGGGCAGATCCTGTAGGAAAGCTCCACTCGGACCCTCCCTGTGGGTATGAGGGTGCAGGAAGCGTGGAGGTGCGACGGCCTGTGCAGCCTTGAAGGTGCTAGAGCAGGAGCACTCACTGGCTGCTGGATCTGCACGTCCAGGGGCCTGGATACGGCACCTCCCACGAGCCCACTGGTACTGTTCCTCTGAGGATACTGGGTCTGTAAAACCTGCTGTCTCTCCCTCAGGGGCCTTCCCTGTCCACCTCACCCACGGGAGACTTGGTGAGATAAATTCTTGCCAATAGCTGTGAGCTCTTTGGACATCTGCAGAGACCCCTTGATAATCTGAGCACTTTAGCCAAAGCTCTGAAGGAGAGGCTTTGGAAGCTTTACTCCGCTACCCCTGGAGGCCCCAGAGGAGTTTGCATTTTTGTGAAGGTAAAAGACCCCAGGCATCCCTGATTCTGTGCCCCTCATCCCCATCTACAGCACACAACTCTGGGTGAGTTACAGCAACAGTCCCAAGATCCACAACATCCAAAGTTGTTGGAAGGAGTTACCAGGAGAACCTTCTTATGTCCCTACACCAATATTAAAGTTTCATTATTGCTACAAACACTTTTTACAAAGATCGGCTTGCTTTACAGTTTTGGTATCAGAATTAGATGGCTATACAAATCTCTGGGCCCTTTACTGTTCTGTTTCAAAATAACCATCATAATAGAATGGTTCTGTTAGGACAGGATGATTTTCTGTCAACTTCAAGAAACTACTGAACCAAACATGAGACGCCCTTGAGTGCTGTGCACAGGTGCCAACACTGACCTCCTGTGCTCACTTCCTCGTGATGCTGAGTGGTCGGTCCCTGGATCTGATGAACATTTGGACCATGGTTCAAGTGAACCTGGCTAGTGTCCACCCATCAGTGCCCAGGGTGTGAGGGCTTCCACATGCTGTCCATACTCACTTTGCTCACAGATAGGAGGAGGGGGGCTCCACTGGCCGTCAGCTTCACAATGGATCACCCTGTTGCCTTTAAGCTGGAAGCCATCATCACAATCAAACTCAAGAGAGTCTTTGTAATGGAAGGTGCTTCGGAAGCCACCCATCAGCTTCCCGTGTCTCACCTCTGGGTAAGGACAGCTGACTTCTGAGGAATTGTGGAAAGACAATAGGTTTGAGAAATCCAAACATTTCACGACTCTGCTCTGCTCTGGGTGGTCTATTATGGGGGCAGACAAAGTTCATGCTTGTGACTGCAGCTGGTCAACACCTCTGCCACAGGAGCACCTCAAATGGTCCTGCTGGGCCCTGGCTGAGCACATCACATCCTCATCCGTTCGGGGCCTGGGCCTAGGTTGCCAGGAGTGACACAGTATCAAGTTCTCGACCTTTCCTTTGCTGGCCTGTTTCCCCAGAAAGTCAGAGGGAGGAAGTGGCTGGAGGGTGACCCGGACTTTGGGGGAGAGTTAAGGAGCCAGAGGCTTGGATTCTTACCACGTCCTCAGTCCTCAGTCACTCCCAATGCCTGAGCATCCTGCTGACCCTCCACTTCTGCCCAGGCCCAACCTCGGCTGCAGTCAAGGACCCTGGACCCCTCAGAGGGTGCTTCTGTGAATCCACATGGGGGTCAGGGCCCCTTTGATTCCCGAGACTCTCTGTCTCCTGCTCATTTCCCAGGCAGACCCAGCTGAGTAGTCCTACATTCCGTGTGACACCGAGACTGGCCCCCATGCCAGTGGCAGCAGGTGGCCGAACACAAGAGCAGCACTGCGGTCACAGCAGGCCTGGTTCCTCCCATGCTCAGCTGTCCTCTGGAGCTGGGTGAGCTGTATGTGGGCACAGGTGGCTGATTCATAGGTGCCAGCCAATGTTCCCACTACAGAGCAACACAGTTGGTGGTTCAGACAAAGGCAGGTGCAGTAGCAACTAACATGTGACCCTTCCAGGTCAAAGATCTTCATGGCCTGCACACGGCCTGGGTTTCCTTGTCCCCGGGAAGAACGGTGAAGGGCAATATAGCACCAGGTGTCCACGTCCCCCTGACGACTGGGCTGGCTGCTGAGCTTTGACCCAAGACCTAAGAGTCCTGGACACACAGGCATGGCCTCTACATAAGGGCCCTGGACACAGAGCCGTGTTCCCTACATGAGGGCCCTGGACACAGAGATGTGTCCTCTACGGGAGGGGTCCTAACTTTATCTGAAATCATGAGGAACTGGTCCAGCAGCCAACAGGTGTCTGTGGGTGGACAAATGGCCGGTCACAGAAATCAGTTTTTTTCTTTGAGTCACTGCATCCCCCAGTAAATACACTGTCTTTTCCTTTCGAAACAAATAATTCCGATCTGAATCCTACAGATTTACTCTTAAAAGTGACTTACTATGACAAGTAGGAGGGCTTGGGATCCAGACAGCTTGAGTCTTATTTTCCATTGAGCAGGAAATGGAAGCTTTCCCTACCAGTGAGAACGGAGGGTCACAGATGTAGGTGACAGAGGAACCATAGGGGTAGAAGTCCTCCTTCGCGCTGTGCCGCCCGTTGCTGATGGCCGGAGGCGGTGCACACTGGGCAACTGTGATAGAGGGAGAAGGACTGTGTCAGCGGGGAGGTACATCAGACTCTGGGCCACCACAGCAGCAAGGATGCCATGGCTTCAGGCCCACCACCAGGAGAAGACCCCACGCAGTCCCCTCATGAGTGTCTGACTCACCAATGCACAGTGGGAGAGGATCACTCCACTCAACGCCTCTGCCTTGGACTTCACAGAAGCTTCTGTCTGAGCCAATTAAGATGTATCTGAATAAAGTAGACCAAAGATTTTTAATGCAATTCTCCCATTCTAATTCAAAAAGGGCTCACTACTTGTATAGGTATGAGCATATGTGCCAGCCTCCGTAACTACTGGAGTGTGCTCCTTCCTTTAAGTGCATGTGGAATAGCAAACCAATTGTATATTGAAGAATATGTATAGAAGAATCTAACCCTCATCTTTACTTGGGAATTCCACTAAGAAGGTGGGCACAAGAAGGTACGGACCCCACTGTGTGACTGAGGTAAACTGTGACCCATTGTATTGTGTGGACTTAGAAACTGGAACAGTGCTTTCCTGTCTGGCTGCCCCCAGGACAGGACCAGGAGAGGCAGCCTTCCGTGCCTGAGCAGAGCAGAGAGCTGCACCCCTGCTTCTCCTCTCTCTTTGCCACCCAGCCCAGAGCAGGTGCTCCTTCTGGACCCACCTCTGCACCCACACTCTGAGCCTTGGCAATGCGGCAGTGGGTAGGGCAGCTGCTTCTTCGCAGAGGCAGGTGGCCCCACGGCAGCAAGATGCCGTGAGGCCAATCTCTACAGCCACTCACCAGGACAGGTGTCCCTGTCCTGGGGCCACCCACCTCTCCTTCATGGCCGTTCCCTGCCCTGCTGGTCTCTGGCCCTTTACCGGACAGACAACCAGACTCCCGCACACAGTCTCACCAGCTCCTGCTGACCAGTCCCTCATCATACCCACATACATTCTGTCCAAGCAAACCCTCCCCAGTGCCGCTGACATTGGCAGGCAAGAGAAAGAAGCTGGAGGCAGAGGGCTTGGAAAGCAGGAGGAAAACAAACCCCGGTTTCCAGCTGGTAGGACTCCAACCCAGGAGACCCCAAGAAAGTGATACATTTGATGGCAAAAATAATTTCTCCCAGGATCCTCCCAGGATGGGAGAAGCATGCTGAAAGTAGACTATAGACCAAACATGATTGCCACTCATTGCCTCTTTTGCAAACCACAACACCCAAAAGGAGAGAGAGAACAGAGGGAAATACCCTGCCACAGAGGCAGGGTGGGATGGGGGGGAGGGGGTACAGGGGGTGGGAGGGATTCTGGGATCCGTGGTGGTGGGAAATGGGCACTGGTGGAGGGATGGGTATTTGATCATTGTATAATTGAAACCCAAGCACAAAATTTGTAAGTCTACAACTGTACCTCATGGTGTTTCACTAATAAAAATTAAAAAATATGTAATTTCTCCCAAAAGACAGGTCAGAAGGCCAATAATAGAGGGGCTAGAGCCATAGTACAGCAGGAAGGGCATCCCATGAGATTCCCTGAGTTCTGCCAGGAATAATGATTTCTGAGAACAGAGCTAGGAGTAAGCACTGAGCACCGCTGGGCATGGTCTAAATTCTCCCCTCCCCCACAAAGGGCAATGATAAGCTGGGGGGTGGGAAGTGAAATTCATATCAGAAACAAGTCTATATACATGTGCATAGGATTAGGTCTTAGAAACTCAATGAGTAATGGGGGGAAGGGCAGAAGTCATGCTGGATAGCTCACAAACATATCTCAAAGAAAGCACAAACAGAACTTAGTCCTATATTAAGTTCTTTCCTCAATGGGGAGTTTTTATCCCTTTTACTTTTCAATAAACCTTTCTATTTCTAAAAAAAAAAAGCAAAGGCAACAAATTCAGCTTCATTTATGATAGAATAACTCTATACTGAAACTCTAAGATAACTCATGTTTGTCTGTTAAATTTGAAATTTTTCAAAATTGTGATGCTTCTTAAAGTTTTAGAGCAAGGTACAAGTTAATATGAGCAACAGAAATTTGCAAACTGTGAAACTATGAAATCCCTACAAAGAGCAATTTGGCAATGTCCAAATTCTCAAACCTATGGTCAGACTCTTTGATCCAGATTTCCCAGTCTGGGAATTTACCCAACAGAAGGAATATGCACAAAATGATGTAAGACAGGTCCTGATCAGACACTGTTCAGAAAAAATATGGTACAGTCATCAAAGGGATCGCTGTCACAGGACATATGGACCCAACAGAACTGTAGTGGTAAAAGTGAATCAGTGAGAAATCATTTTATATACAAACATGGAAATATCTCATGTATGTATTGATATGTATACCAATAGCAAGAGTCAAGACTACATTTATATGTCAAATTTGCAAATGAAAACATACACTAGTAACCTGTATTATAAAAAAACACTAAAATACATAAAATAAATAAAAACCCCTGTTTAAGGACATGTGGGACAGATAGTGATGGTGAGGAGATGAAATTCTCAATATATGCCTTTTACTTGTGAATTATGTAAACTTTTAATGTAACTAATATCATTTAATAATAATTATCAATATTTTTATTAAATGCCATTTATTTTATAAGACATTTATATTAGAATTAATTAGAAATATTATTTATAATATTATTTAGATCAAGTTAATTAACTATAATTAATTTTAAAGGTATGCTTTGTAGGTTCCCTCACCCTTCCAAACAGCTGAATAATATCTCAGATCCGAAAAGGAGGTCTGTCTGAACTATCACTTGTCCGTTGCGTAATTCTCCTGGGTTTCTGCATCGTTTCTCTCGAGAGGAAGAAAGATGATGATTAGATTTTAAGTACTAACTGAGAGAGCTTCGGAATATGGGGCTGATGGACTAACTCTGACCTCTGCTTCCAGAAAGACCCAAAGTTCAGATTTAAACGTTATACTAATCCCAATTCACTACATTCTTACTATGGAGGAAAACAAACACAACAGAGGTCTCTATAATTTTTTTTCTTGTACATTTTACAAATAGTAAAGTTATTTTTACGTGTCCTTATGGAAGTGCAGTTCACAGGCTGGGTTCTGCACACTGATTGGAGAGCAAGGTCCCTGCTGGTCTAGTCACAGCCTACCTGTGCTCAGTCATGAGGGGCAGGAAGGCACAGAACAGAGGCCACACAGCCTTCCTGCTGGTTGCACCCAGCCTGGCTGTGCATGATAACAAGTCTTGCCATCTTCTTCCAAAGAGCAGATATCCAGGTGAGCTTTCCTTGAAAGTTGCACTATTAGTACTTTCTAGACACAACTTTTTAACATACTGAGATTATCTCACCCGCACAGCAAAGCTTGGTAAGCTACCCGTGACGTATTCAATATGCCAAACACAGCAACAAATCTCACCATGATACTGGGCCCTCTTGAGCAAATTGATGAACAATGGGAGGACAGTGACAGTGACAATAACTCTGGTTTTCAGTACACTGAAATGAGTTTGGGCAGGCGCCCAGATCCTGGCTAACTATTCGCCTCTATCAGGTACCTTCCTACCTGGAACTGGCTGCACATTTCTTCACCACTCTGTGATTCATCCTACATATACAAAGACATCCTAACTTAGGCTCCTAACCACATAAAAACACACAGGTAACAACCCTAAACTATCAAGGTCATGGTGGTAAAGCAACGCAAAACCCACTTGGCTTAATAAGTGAAGAAGCTAGCCCAGATGACTCAGTGAGTAAGATCCAGCTATATAACCTCTCTGATAAGGAATTTAGAATGGAATTGTAAAGGATGCATACGGAGTTCAAAGAAGCAATGGAAGTAGACTATAGACTGAACATGATTGCCACTCAATTCCTCTTTTACAAACCACAACACCTAAAAGGAGAGAGAGAGAACAAAAGGGAATGCCCTGCCACAGAGGCAGGGTGAGATGGAGGGTATGGGGGGTGGGAAGGATACTGGGATTAGTGGTGGTGGAGAATGGGCACTGGTGGAGGGATGGGTATTCGATCATTGTATAACTGAAACCCAAGCACAAAAATTTGTAAGTCTACAACTGTACCTCATGGTGTTTCACTAATTAAAATTAAAAAAAACAAAACGATGGAATGCATCACCAGTAAAATACAGGAGGAGGGCCTGGAGCGATAGTACAGTGGATAGGGCATTTGCTTTTTATGCAGCCAACCTGGGTTCGATTCCCAGCATCCCTTATGGCCCCCTGAGCACCGCCAGGAGTAATTCTCTAGTGCAGAACCAGGAGTAACCCCTATGAATCGCCAGGTATGATCTGAAAAGCAAAAAAAAAAAAAAAAAAGAAGGAAAGAAAGAAAGAAAGAAAGAAAGAAAGAAAGAAAAGAAAAAATACAGGAGGATATGAGAGCAGATATGAGGAAAATAAAAATGAAAATGCAAGCAGAAATGACAGATCTGAAAAACCTGGTAGGTGAGATGAAAAATTCATTGGGAGGCCTCACCAACAGAGTAACAGTTGCTGAGGACAGAATAAGTGAGCCCAAGATGTTTAAGAATCTCCAGACTATAGTAGATGAAAAAGACCCTCAAAATAAACCAAAAGATGACAAGATAAGATCAGGATGAAACCAAGAGGAACAACACAAGAATCAATGGAGTACCAAAGAGACAGGAATAAAACTCTGATGAAGAAGTTTATCAAGATATCATTGTTGAGAAGTTCCCAGAACTGAAGAGCACATGCACCCAAATCCAGGAGGCCAGAAGGGTACCAGCTAAAAGAAATCCAAATAAAAAGACCTGAAGATACATCCTAATCAGAATGTCAAAAACCATAGATAAGGATACAATACTGAAAGCAGCAAGATCAAACAAGGAAATTGCTTATCAAGGAGCATCCCTAAGATTCATGGCAGACTTATGAGTGGAAACTTCCAGGCCCAAAGACAGTGATGAAATATAGTGAACAAACTCAATTAAATGAATTCCACACCAAGAATATATTACACAGCCAGACTCTCATTTAGATTTGAAGGAATACACAATTTCACAGATAAAGAACAACTCAGGAACTTCATACACCCCAAACCATTGTTTCTAGATGAACTAAATGGGCTACTTTAAGATAAGACAAGTGCCACAAGTACACCAAACTCTTACATAAAGATGACTCAAATTCCCATCAGAGTAATCTCTCTCTCATGTCAATGGACTAAATACACCATTCAAGAGGCACAGAGTGACAAGATGGATTAGAAAATTGAACCCAACATTCTGCTTGCCTGCAAGAAACACATTTAGACAACCAAAGCAAGCATAGGATAAAAGTCAAAGCTGGAAAACAATTCTCCAAGCAAAAAATCCCCTCAAATCCCAGGGTATCAGAATACATAGACTTTAGGCTGAAGAAGGTTATTAGTGACAGTGAAGGTCATTTCTTAATGATCAAGCTATCATTAAGTACACCAGGAAGAACTCACACTCCTAAATGTATATGCACTTAATGAGGGATCATCAAAATACTTGAAAGAACTACTAAAAGACTTGAAGAAAGACATTGATAGCAACACAATATTAGTTGGAGACTTTAACACCACTCTGTCAACTCTCCATAGATCAACCAGACTAAAGTTCAGCAAGGAGATACTTTATTTGAGGGAAGGGTTAGTATATATATACAGGACTTTTCATCTCCCAAAAGCTGAATACACATTCTTTTCCAGTATATATGGACATTCTCCAAGATAGACCACATTTTGGGCCACAAAACATACCTCCATAAAATTAAGAGGATAGAAATTATATCTACTATCTTTTCAGACCATGATACACTTAAAATAGAAGTGAAGCACGTGCAGAAACGGAGAATCAAATCAAACACCTGGAAATTAAACAGTTCACTAGTGAACAATCAGTGGGTTAGAGAGAAAATCAAAGAGGAGATTGAAAGATTCCTGGAAACAAGTGAGAATGAGGATTCAAGCTACCAGAACTAGTGGTACAAAGCAGAAGTATTGTTAAGAGGAAAGTTTATAGCTCTGCAAGCATCCATCAGGAAGGAAAACAAGGCGTACATCAGTAACTTAACCTCACAGCTTAGTGTTGGATAATACTGGGTTGTCCTTGCTGCTCCCAAAGGGAGCTTGAGGTTTATTGAGCCACTCCCACAACAGTGCAACTGATGTGCACCCAATTCCATCAGGCTCTAATAATCTTATGTTGATTTTCTCTTTCCTTTATGTCATTTGCATGGTACATTTAGCAATGTCCTTTTTGTATAGACACAGGAAGACGATGTTATGCTATGTAACATGGGAGTTAATTGACTCTAAAATAGTATTTACTCCTGGGCATCCATATTTACTTGACTTAAGCCTCAGTTGTCTTTAGTTCCTAGAACTCTAAGAGCAGGGTCCCGACAAGGGACTGATGGACCCAGGGCAAGCTATCCTTGCATCAAAATGGGCCAGGCCAATAACTTAATACTTAACTATAAATTAAGAGCACGGTTATGGACAAGCTATGCCATGACCCAAAAAGCAGTAACTATTCAGTTACTGGGGGTAACTGGGGTAACCCTGCTGGGGTTAGGAAAGACTAACCTGGCCTGAGTACTGCGGTCTGGAATATATAGTGAGATGTCCCCAGGAAGAGCCAAACTGTAAGCTTGATATATCTCTTACTGTGTTCATACAAAATGATATTGCTAGAAATATTATAAGAAGTAAATTGACTTTGACTGTTTAAATAGATTGTTAGCTGAGGTAAGGAAAAAGCAGTATACCCTGGATGGAATCCCACTATTGGGCAGATCTCCTGGTAATCTGGAGTGCTGAATTTTTAGATAAGATTTTGTCCTTGAGTTAATCTCCTGAAGGAGAGGCTTTAGATCTCTTTGTTGTTATGATAATGTTCAATCCCACCTTTGTATACACACCCTTCATGATTTCTATATAACCATGCTGTAAGGGGTAAGAAAAGGAGTGCTGTTGGTGATGCTGAGAATTGACTCTGGAAACAGATGTTGGGGACTAGATGCTGAGGACTAGATGCTGAAGACTAGACACTGAAGACTAGATGTTGAAGACGAGAAGGTCGACTATGAGAGGTTGAAGATGAGGAGGAGAACTGAGACTAGGGAGACTCTGGAGCTAGACTCTGAACTAGACTCTGGAACAAGACTCTGGGAAGGAGGTGCTGAGAAGGAGCTGAAGATACTGAGGACTAGGTCAAGAGATGCTGAGCAGGAGATGAAGACGAGATGCTGGGACAAGACGTTGGGAACCAGAAAGTGGGGACTAGATGCTGAAGACTAGATGCTGAGGACAAGACACTGAGGACAAGTGCAGTGATGAGATGTTGAAGATGAGGAGGAAGAGAATGAAGACTTTGGGACTAGAAGGAGAACCAGATGACGACAATGACTGGAAGTAGACAACTATGAGAATGCACCGAGACGAGGAAGAAGGGATAGCAAAGGAGAGGACTTTGAGGTCCATGAGGAGACTAGGATTATGGAACGCTGATGAAAGGGACTACAGCCAAAATGATGACCACAACTGTGCCATAAGGGAGAGACCAGATGACAGGTGTGGATGGATTCATGAGTGAGTCCATTCAAACCTTTAAAGAGAACCTACTGCTAATTTTTTCAAACATTTCCATGAAACTTAGGAAACAGAAACACCCCCAAACAGCTTCTATGAATCAAATATCACCCTGATACCAAAACCAGACAGAGACACTACAAAAAAAGAAAATGACAGATAGATGTCCTTGATGAACACAAATGCAAAGATCCTCAACAAAATACTAGCAAATAGAATATCAACGAC